AATCTAAAAAAACACCAGATAATTCACACAAACGAGAGGCCTTATCCATGTTCATTTTGTGGAGAGACTTTTTCACGACTGGAACATTGTAAACGACACCAGAAAACACACACTGGTGAGAGAAATCATGTGTGTTGTGACTGTGGAAAGAGCTTTATTACATCTAACAATCTGAAACAGCACCAGAGGATTCATACTGGAGAAAAACCTTACAAGTGCTCATACTGTGACAAGAGTTTCACTCAGTCTGCAAACCTGAAATCACTCGAGCGACTTCATACTGGAGAAAAAACCCTTCAAGTGCTCATATTGTGACAAGAGTTTTTCTCTGGCTGGATCCCTGAAATCACATGAGCGAGTTCATACTGGAGAGAAGCCGTACTACTGTACTCAGTGTGAGAAGGGTTTTAGACAATCAACTGGCCTTCTCAGGCACATGAGGAAATATCATAAATGGTCACAATGAGCAACATTTCATTTTCATGTCAAATAAGTATTCCAGTAAATGGTGTGAGATGAACAAAATATAGTGTTGCACCCAAAAGCACAATGTCATCTAGTTTATCTTTGTGAATTTGGTGAAATGCTTAGAAAAGAGTGGTGTTTGAAGCTTTTTTTTTTTTTACAGTGTTAATAATTATTTGTATCTTTCCCACTTGGTAATAGTCGCAAAATCTGCTTGAATAAGACATATTCATGTAATTTACTTATTTAACAATGTTTACTAGACGCTGTAAAATGTTAAACAATTAAAAAACTGAAAAATAAAGTTGATTGTTTTCTTGATTTAGAAACGGATTCATTTTAAATGCCGTCAAAGCTGCTGCAGTAAGTTGCAAGTATGTACAAATATAAAGGATTTACAAGAGAAACATGACAACATTCACTGGTGTGTAACTTGATTTGTATCATGAAAGTTCAATGACAAAACATGTATAATCAGAATCACCAGATTCTCTTGTTTGATTATATATTTAACTTACACACAACTTTTATTCTTCGAGAAGAACACCCCGCAGTGGGTGTTGGCCCTTGAGGCAAAAAGGTCGACCTCGGCCTCGCCGAACGTCTCCCATATTAGACTGAGGGTTCAGGGACCACTCGCCTAGGGGAGTGTTGCCCCGTGACAGCATATCCGCACCCAGGTTTTGTACACCCGGTATGTGTGATGCTCTCAGAGAGCCCAGATTGGACTGCGCCCACAGGAGGAGGTCTCTCGCCATAGCATACAGGTTTCCTGACCTGGTTCCCCCCTGGCGATTTATCTAGGACACCACAGACATGCTGTCCGTACGGACTATGACGTGGTGGCCCTTGAGGTTTGACAGAAAGGTTTTCAGGGCCAAACCATCTGCCTTCATTTCCAGACAGTTGAAATGTAAGCTCTGCTCCGTGCTCGACCAGGCTTGCCCTCGCGCAGTGCTCCCCAGCCCCGGTTGGAAGCGTCTGTAAACACCACTTTCCTTCTGGAAACTACCCCCATGGTCACCCCATTGTGGTACCAGTCCTGAGCCTGCCAGGGAATCAGTGTCCTTAAACACTCGTGATTTACCATAATGCGCAGGCTGCCTGACTGCCATGCATGGGTTGGCACACGGCATTTTAGCCAGTGCTGCAGCGGGGGCATGCGCAGTAATCCCAAGTGGAGTACTGCTGATGCAGCCGCCATTAGACCAAGCAGTTTCTGAAACTTCTTCAGAGGTGTGCGCTCGCGCGCCCTGAACGAGGCTGCCAGCGCCTGTACAGAGCGCGCGTGCGCTCTAGAATGAGCCGTGCTTTCATTGTTACTGAAAGTTTCATCGAGTCTAAAACTGTGCCCAGAAAGACTACAGTCTGGCTGGGGGTCAGTTCGCTCTTGGCAACATTGATTGTGAGACCCAAGCATTTTAAATGGTCGAGAATCAAATCCCTGTGAAGTATCAGTTCGTCTCTCGATTGCGCCAGCACTAGCCAGTCGTCGAGATAATTCAGCACGCGCACTCCCTGACTTTTCAGTGGGGAAAGCGCTGCATCCATACATTTCGTGAATGTACGGGGTGCCAGGGGGCGCCTAACATAGGGGGACCTGATAACCTTATAATGTGATTTGTGCACGTACAAGAGTGTTTGACTGACCACACAGGCTTTTGCCCCGGGGGGAGACAGTGTTACAGCAGGGAGGGGGCCACCTAGTGTAGGGGGACCGTGAACCCGTGTGTTGTGATTGTGAAACATGCTCTTTTTGTGCTTTATTTGGGTCGCCATGAAAACGGCGTTTGTTTGCAAAGACGCGCTCACTGTTGCGGGCCTGTTTACAATAATAAAATCCCCATCCGCCTGAACTGAACAGGGAGCTGTGGGAAGTTTTGCTGATCTTTTTGAGGGTGGTCCGGCTAGTGCGAGACGCGAGCCCTCTCTCTTTCCACCTCGTGTTAGGACGACTTCGGTGGGGCCTGGTCGATCACGACGCTCGGTCGAGGGCCTGGACGCCGGGGGAGTGGGTAGCGCTTCACGGCCCTTGACTGGCGGTGGCTATCAGCAGCCGCAGGGCGGGGCTGAGAGGCCTGCTTCGCGGGCTTGGCTGGATGAGGCGAAGGCGGCGGTTTGGGCTTGCTAGTCGCTGAGCTCGATCGTTTAGGCAGGAAGTGCCGCATAGCCTGGGACGCTTCCTGTGCCTCCGTGTACCTCTCCGAAAATCCCTTCACCGCCGGGCCGAAGAGGCCGGAGCTGGAAACAGGGGCGTCGAGGAACCTCGTTCTGTCGGCGTCTTTGATCTCAGTGAGGTTGAGCCAAAGATGGCGTTCGTGCACGACCAAGCTAGCCATGTTCCTCCCGATGGCCTGTGCTGTAGCCTTAGTAGCACGCAGCGCTAAGTCAGTAGCACTTCTCAGGTCCCGAAAAGCCTCCGGGTCCGGGCCAGCCTCGTCCATAGACCGAAGGAGTTTGGCCTGGTAGACCTGCAACACGGCCATCGTGTGCAGGGCCGATGCAGCCTGACCAGAGGCGGTATATGCGCGTCCAGCGAGGGCTGAGGTGTTTCGGCAGGCCTTGTTGGGATGAGCGGCCCTAGGTCGCCAGCTAGCAGCAGTGCTCGGGCAAAGATGAGCGGCCACGGCCTCTTCGAGAGGCGGCAAAGACTCGTAACCCTTTTACGCTGCGCCATCCACGGAGGAGAGCGTCGCGAACACTGAAGATCCCACATGCGCTGAGTGAGGAACGCGCCAGGCCTTGGTGAGCTTTTCGTGGACCTCGGGGAAAAATGGCGCTTGTTTGTGACGAGGGGCCTGTTGACGCCCCGACAGGAACCATCCATCCAGCCGACTACGAGGCGGCTCCTCGGGCGTGGTCCACTCTAGCTCGAGGTCCGCGACGGCCTTCGTCAGGATCCGAAGCATTTCGGCGTCGGAGTTAGTCCTGGTCGCCGAATCACTGGCCACCGACTGCGAGGCGCTGACGGGGTTGAGAGAGCCCGGCCACTCGTCCTCAGAGGCCGCGATGGACAGGCTGTCGTCGTGATCAAGCGATCCGCCGAAGGAGACGAGGCCCGCCACGTGGGAGGGGGGGGGGGGGGGCGCTGGTCTCCTGCGAACAGGACCGGTGATGGTGTCCGGGTAGGAGAAAATGACGCACGCGGGGACGCGACCGGCGTGCGTTCATTAACATCCAAACCCTCCGGTTGCCGTTGGCTGCGACGCTTCTTCTTCCTAGGAGCGGAGAGCGTCGTTGAAGCGGCATCACCGTCTCGAGAGAGAGCTAGCCGATTGCGCAGCACGGAGATTGGCATGCTTTCGCAGGCCGCACATCCGCCGGCAGCGAGAGCATTTTCCGCGTGGTCAACGCCCAGGCAGGGAATGCAGCTCGCGTGTTGGTCTGCCTTGTGCAGAGGGCCTTCGCACGTGGCGCAGGAAGAACGAGGCATTCTGAAAAATAAGGTTAGTTTTTGCAAAGGATATAGGCAGTCGCTGGATAGCCACAGGTGAGACGGCGTCAGGAGACCGCTGAGTGTAGGCGAAGTCTGCTGAATGAGGCTCGCTCAGCTGAAGGGCTTGATTCGATGGCGAGTTACAGCAAAAAGCTCAGGGACATGTGTACTGTCGCTGAAGGAGTATAAATCTGCTATAATGGCGAATTCGGGGGGCTATATAGACTGGGTCACGCCCCCTCGACGGGCTCTGACGTAAGGCTAGCTCATTGGTCGCACGTCAGAGTCACCCACCCGATGTGCAGTTGCTGCAGCACAGCTTATGAGCGTGTCAGACGCTCAGCGTGCTGGCTGTGCAGCTGCAAATACGTTTTACAATAGGCTTCAGTAAATCGAGGAAAAGGAGTTTCCCCACTGCGTATAGCTACACAATACAAAGTGACCGTTCGAAAGGGAACTAGATTTTCTTGTTTAATTCTGTAGTTACCTTCTACACAAAACAGCCCTTTCTGTGTAAAAAAGGCTGATTTTATGATTTGTTTCAATTAGTTTAAATGTATGATAATCACTGGCTGTTTTTCTTAGTTTATATTGCTATACCAATCATAAGAACTGTGAAAAAAAAGGAAAAAAAAAAGAAAATAATCTAGAATATATTATATAAATGCACGTAGATCATAATCTTGTACAGCAGTTGTCATTCACATTTTGACTATCAACAAGAGGATGACAAAACTAACCTTTGGAACATAAAAAATATGATATTTGATAAACAGATCTCACTTGTTTTCTATTATTAAATCAGGGTTCACTTGAAAATTCACATTTATCCTCCAGAACTCATTCTAACAATTTAATATGTTTTAATGTTTCAGACCCGATGGAAGTGAAAGAGCAAAGACAAGAACTGAAGTGAAAGGTGATGATGCTGTAGTTTGTTTCAGCCTGTTGACACCAATACAATGAGCTTAATGTGCCAATTTACTGAAGATCTCAGACATCCCCATAATGAATGAGCTGAAAACAGGGAACTTTTGGAGACAAAGAGGTTTTTCAGCTGCTCAGTTAAACATGATGGCCCTGTACTTTTAAAATGCAGATTGGATAAAAACACAGTGATCACAGTTCACACCTGCAGTGAAGCCCCTCCCACAACAATTCACCAATAAATACTGGGAATATTCCCATCATCCTACAAGAGAAGGACAAACTCCAGGAGTAGCAGCTGAAATCTGTGTGACTGTTAAAGATGGAGTTTATTAAAGAGGAGATTGAAGACATGAGTGATCCAGAACCATCCAGAATAAAACATGAAGATACTGAGGAACAAACAGGTTGGTGTCCATTCTTGATTCTTCATTGTTGACGCTTTGGTAGATATGAACTAATAAGCAGTATATGGATGATAAATGATAGAGAAATAAATTCAAAATATCATAACCTTGTATATAGCAGTTGTCAAACATATTTCAATTATATTAACAAGTGAATGACAGAACAACAAGTGGGAGATCTGATCTCTGTTGCTTTCCGATATTAATTAAGTGATGGAGAAAAATGATGTCAAGTTGTTCCAAACCTGTATACATTTCTTTTGTTTCTTCATTTCTTCAAAAGCAAAACAAAAATCATACATGTTAGGAACAACTTGAGGGTGAGTAAATGATGACATAATTTTCACTTTCAGGTGAACCTTTAAATCAGGATTTACTTGAACTGATTCTAACTCTATTTCTGTGTATTTTAGACCAGGTGAGAGTGAAAGAGCAAAGACAAGAACTGAATGAAGAGGAGGAGGAACATCGTAACTTTAAAACTCAAAGAACAGAAGCCAAAAAGACACACACCTGTACTCAGTGTGGAAAGAGTTTCACACAGAAAGGAAACCTTAACAGACACATGAGAATTCACACTGGAGAGAAACCGTATACATGCACTCAGTGTGGAAAGAGTTTCACACAGAAAGGAGATCTTAACACACACATGAGAATTCACACTGGAGAGAAACCGTATACATGCACTCAGTGTGAGAAGAGTTTCAGTGATGCATCAGGTCTCCGTCATCATCTGCTCATTCACTCTGGAGAAAAAACATTTAACTGTGATCAGTGTGGTAAAGATTTTAATTCGTCATCAAATCTAAAAAAACACCTGAAAGTTCATTCAGATGAGAAGCCTTATGTGTGTTCTCTCTGTGGAAAGAGTTTTTCACAGTCTGGCAGTTTTAAACGGCACCAGAAAACACACAATGAAGTGAGAGATTATATGTGCTTTGACTGTGGGAAGAGCTTTACTACATCTAGTCATCTGAAACTGCACCAAAGAATTCATACTGGAGAAAAACCTTACAAGTGCTCATACTGTGACAAGAGTTTCACTCAGTCTGGACACCTGAAATCACACGAGCGAGTTCATACTGGAGAGAAGCCGTACTACTGTACTCAGTGTGAGAAGAGTTTCACCCAATCAAGTAGTCTAGTGACTCATATTAGAAAGCATTGTTCTGTGTCACAGTGAGCAAATGTTTTATGAGATTCACATAAATAAATGTGTAGTTAGTTAACTAATAAACTAGTGTTGCTGTGAAATGCCACAAGATTTGTGTTTTTGACATCCCGGCGAAGCATGCTGCCTTTACCGGCGCGGGAACTCTAGGTAATATTCCTCAAACAAACATGGTGATAACTTCGTGCCTTAAACAGCAGCAGATGAAATTGTTTCAGACTGTGAATCATGCGAGTGTGTTGTGGGACGCTAAAACGAAGCCGAAAAGCATTTTTGGTGGCCACTTGAACATACGTAGCATTATTTCAAAGACCGAACAACTTGAACATTTATTAACGGACTCAAACATCGACTACTTATGCCTCACAGAGACTTGGTTAACCCCAACAACACCTTTATCTGTTTTTAATATTCCAGGGTATAATGTGTACAGACGGGACAGAAGGAAAGGGAAAGGGGGTGGAGTCCTGATATATGTGAAAGACAGCAATCAAAGTCAGCAAATAGTTTTTTCAGAAAACAATTTGGAATGCTTGGGGGTAAAAATTACATTATCTCCCCAAATGTATTTTGCTGTCTTTGCAGTCTACCGTCCTCCTACCGCCACAAATGAATTTTATGATTATCTAAATGTTATACTTAAACAACATGGAAAAATGGAAGTTATTCTTATGGGTGATTTCAATTTAAATTGGCAAGACAAAACGCATAGGAAAAAGCTTAAAGATATTGCCAAAACTTTTCAGATGATGCAGATAATCCATAAGCCGTAACAAGAATAACAAAATCTTCCCAAACACTTCTAGATTTAATTTTTACAAATAAACCAGATAGAATTAGAAAGATTTATAACCTTATCACTGGGCTATCAGATCATAATCTAACTTTGGTCTCCAGGAAACTGTCAAAAACACGCTTTAAAAATCAGAATTCAATGAAGGGGAATTCCATGCCCTTTATCGCTCCAAAGGACATGGCCTTTATTGAAAATGAGATAAAGCAAGTAAACTGGTATGACAAAATTGGTAGTATGCCCTGTGAGCCAGCTAGTGCTGATTTAATGTCAACCATTAAAGACATTATTTTAAAATACACCAATAAAAGGGGCAAGAAAACAAATAAAAAATATAATCTACCCTGGTTTAACACTAATCTCTGGGAAATAATGAAAAAAAAGGGATGCTTCTTTGAAAAAGTTTTTAAAAACAAAATTAAATACTGATCACCTGATTTTTAAAAGTTTAAGAAATAAAGTAACACAACAACTTAGAAAGGCAAGAGCAAACGTCTTCCTCAATGTTATTAATGAGGCAAAAGGAAACCCTAAACAATTATGGAAGAGCATTGACAAATTACTTGGAAGGGAAAAATCAGCAAATAAACACTTAAAACTTGTGGTGGATGGTTGTATTCAGGATGATGATAGGATTATTGGGGAATGTTTTAATGATTATTTTATAAATTCAGTACAAGAATTGAGTTTAAGATTTACAAAAGTTCAAATTACACAAGCTTTAACCTGTAGTGATGCTGCTTTCAAGTTTAATCATCCCAGAGAAAGTGGAAAATGTAATCTCACTTCTATCTAATAGTAAAGCTAAAGACATATGGTTGTAGCTTTTTTAAAACAGCACAAGACATCTATTATGATACCTCTAGCGATGATTATAAATAAGTCTTTTAATGAAAATATCTTTCCTAGTGTGCTTAAAGGGGTGATGAACAGAAATCAAATTTTCCTTGAGCTTTTGACATCTAAGAGGTCATCATATTATAAGAATATCCTGTAAGTTTCAGAACTGAAAACGTCCTTGTTAGTCCAATAAAAGCTTTTATTGACACCAGGCTCAGCAAACGACTCGTTTTTCAAAGTGGGGAACTATGACGACAAAGAGGATAAAACACCACCCCCGCAGAAGAAGATCAACGCCTACTTCAACACGGCCGGTTTAGCCCCGCCTACCGATTCGCGCATTACACGAAACTCATTATAATATGCAAAACTGTTATCCACTCACAGCAGTGGGCGTTTACTTCCAAGTCTTCAATGCTCGCCCATAAAAACCGAGCCTCGCCCATAAAAACCGAGCGTTTTTGAGCTAGGCTCAAAACTAGGGTAGAAAATAGCCTATTACTTATTCATTTTGATGTTTTTGAATTTAAAAACCAAGCGAACGTCATAAGATGACCTCAGACAACAATATAAAAAAAATTAAAAAGCCAGTTCATGACCCCTTTAAATATGCCATTATCACCCCTGTGCACAAATCTGGGGATACCCAAGTGGTCTGTAACTACCGACCCATCAGTATTCTCCCAGCTGTGTCAAAGGTTATCGAAAAGGTTGTGGCAGAACAACTAATAGCACATCTGAACTCTAGGTCCTTTTTACATCCGATGCAATTTGGTTTCAGGAAAAAACATTCCACTGAAACTGCATGCTGTTACTTCCTTGAGGAAATTAAAATGAGCCTAGATCAAGGAGGAGTGGTGGGAGCAGTCTTCTTAGATTTACGCAAAGCCTTTGATACAGTGAACCACGAGGTACTGTTACACAAGCTGGGTAAATACTAAATTTCAATAAATGTCCAAAATTGGATAAAATCTTATTTAATAAATCGAAAACAATGTGTGCAAATAAATGGAACTTTGTCAACGTCTCTTGACTCCACTGTGGGAGTACCACAAGGATAAATTTTAGGGCCTCTATTGTTTTGCTTATATATTAATGACCTGCCTTTGATCTGCAAGGGTACAAACATTGTTATGTATGCTGATGACACAGTTTTATATACCCATGGGAGAAGTGCAACAGAAGTAGCCAAAAAGTTATCAAATGTTATGAGTAAGGTCAGTGACTGGTTATATGACTCATGCCTTACATTTAATGTTGAGAAAACTGTAACTATGTTTTTTACAAACCGGTCTAAACTTAAAGGGGTCATATAATGCCATTTTTGTACAAGCTAATATGATTCTTTAGGGTCTAAATTAAAAGTTTGTAATATACTTTAATTACAAATTCTCATTAGTATTGTAAGAAAACACTTATTTTACCTGGTAAAAAACAGCTCTGTTTTCAGCACGCCGTTTCAGTGCATATGACTTTAAATGATAATGAGCTTTGCTCACCCCGCCTCTCTGTTCTGTGGGTACACCGTTTGTTTGACTGCCAATAACACAATAACCATAACGCGTTGTTCAGTATAAACGTGGGATTATGAATTATATTGAGAACGTCATACATAGAAAGCATGCCGTAATGTAGGCTACCCTGAGTGTAAACCTTAGACGCATTCATTGTGAAGCGTGCAGCTAGCGATTTACAAGGATTAATATAAATATTAATATAAAGTTTAATAAAACGATACACTCACTTCGGTTCTTCTGGAGGTTCAGCAGGAACACGAATAGTTGGTACCGATCCTTTCTTCATGAGCAGCTTCTTAGCAAAACCAGCTTTATACTGACCCTCGTTTATAAAGCAGTCTGGTGTGTGAAATGATTCGCGCAAACATGAGAGCATTGACGTTGCTCGTGGGGAATATTCCCTTCGAAAACAAACTCAGCCACTGCGTCTCAGCCACTGCGTCTTCAGCGGTTTGGATTTAGGAACAGTAAAATGACTGCTGTGTTCGTTATTACACCCAAGAACAGAACACCACAATCGCTTAGACGCCATTCTGCTCATAGACAGTGCTCCAGCCTATCAACAATGACCGCGCCGATCCGCACAGACTATGATTGACAGCTAGCTCACGAGCGAGGGCGGGTCTGTGTTGAAACCCTGCTGTCAATCAACAATCGTGGGAGGGACGTGTGAACTTGTGACGTCACACGCTCGAACGGCTCGATTTGAGGCAGGGGAAAACATATAAGGAGATTAAAACAAAACCACTGGATGGATTTTTATCATTATATGATGGCTGTGTACAGACACTGCCAACACACATTTCAGTACAATCAACTTGTAAAAGTGCATGTACCATTATATGACCCCTTTACTTATCTGGAAGTTTTAGTAAGTGGCCAATATATAAAACATGTAGATACATTTAAGTATCTGGGGGTAACTCTAGACTCGACACTTAGTTTTAAAGGTCATGTTAATAATATGTGCAATAAATTGAAATTTAACTTAGTAAATTATAGATACATAAGATATTCTCTCACCACTGTTGCATCCAATACATATTTAAATGCAATGATTATTTCCCACCTCTTGTACTGTATTACATCCTGGTCATGGAAAGAACCTATATGAGGATATATGCGCATATATGAAACCTATATGCAGTTTATATGCACATATATGCTGCATATATACAGCATATATGCACATATATGATAATATATATGCTGCATATATGCGTATATATTGCACATATAGGCAAAACTGAGGTGCATATATGTGCATATACAGGCCATATAGGTCTCCTGTATTGCTTCTTTATATCCACATATAAGCCCTATATGTGCATACATGACTCCTATTTAGCTCATGGCAGGATCTGGTCATTTTGTAGCTCATATCTCACTTTGGCAACTGTCATACATGATGCCTAGCTCATATTGTCTATTATCAAGGCAATAACTAAGAACTAAGTAAAAAAAGAAATTATGCAAGAACTGTATGTACACGTGAAATTGGTATCACATGTAATTGGCATGTTATGAAATTGAACTATGGCAATTAAGTGAGAGGAAATGGAAAGCTATGTGAAAGCTACATTTACAAGGTCAATTCTTTCTTGTATGAAGATAGTGGAAAAGAAGGAAATAACAAAATGGTTTGTCGTTTTTTTATTTTGTCAATCAAGCCCTTTTTCCAATTTCAAGTCACTTCCAGATTTACATTACAGCTCATACATGTAGCGTTTATACGCCCATATAAATATAATTAATTATTATTCATAACGGATTATGATCAATAATTAATAGTTTAATTATTTTCAGAATTTACTGTAGCAGAATCAATAGTATGATCATTTTATCAGTTCATCCAATGAACGGAAAGCATAAACAATTATTAAT